GATTACTCCGCGAGGCTCCTGACTACGGTAGCCGCAATGCTCCCACAATGTACAAACCTTTTGCGTGAGAAGAGCCTGGACCACCTGATTAGCCACCTGAAAGAGACGAGAAGGAACAATGTGTTTAAAAAAGTTTGGTCATTATTTTAAGAGTTGAACTTTGTGACTTTGAGATGCAAAGAGATTGTAAAACTATAATAAAAATTAAGTTCAAAAATGAGGATTTAGAGGCGTGGACGGTGCCGTGAGGACAAACTGACATGGCGTTGCATCAGAGTCGGGCTCGTTGAAACCACACAGCTGTTGCCCGCGGTTACTGCATGTCTGACCACAGAAAATATACACATGGTTAATGTTGATGTCCTAACTTTTTCATTCTGTATTCTGTGTGAATTTCTGCAGGAAGAAGAAAAAGTTCAGCTCAGTTGTGTGGATTGATTTTTTAAAAAAGAAGAAGAAGACTAATCTGAAACGCTTTCTTTCCTGCTTATTTTGATTTCTGAAGTGGAGGCCTACATTATATCTTGGAACTGGAATAATAAGTATGTTTTGATTTTTCTTGTGTGCCACAAAATTATTTCCCTCCACCTCTTTCATCTTTCTATCAAAACGCCTCGCCTCAGCTCATTCAGATGATGACAGGAAACCATCTCAATGCCCCCCCCCCCAAAAAAAAAAAGAAAAATCATCTGCATAATGAGACTGAAAAGCAGCAGAAGCAGTGGCAGCAGCAGAGAAATTAATCCCACAGCAGAAACTCTGAAATATCTGTCCTCAGCCACGTTCTCATGGGCAGCAATCTCTCTGGTACCAAGCCCATTAGCGAAGGCTGCTAAAAAACTAAAGTGGCACTGTCGTGGTGGCTGGAGAGAGATGCAGGAAAAGATGGAGAGACTTTCAAAGTGCTGTCAGAGGGAAGGAGTGCAGTTAGACAGCCTCGTGTTAGAGGTGAGAGTCCGTGCTCCTGAACGCTGAGACTCACTTCTCCATATTGCCAGGAGCTCTGCTGTCTGTCTACTTCAATTAAAGATCTGGGCATCCCTCTGTAGACTCCACCAGTGCTCATAATAAACGAAGTGTGTTTGTGCGTCTCCTGCTGTA